AGTAAATAATTCACCTTCTTAAAATATTCTGTAAATGCTTTAGACTGACTAAAATCTGACCACATTTTGTGAAGCTGAAATAAAAGACCTAGATAATGCAATTGTATCTTGGATTCATCCAGTATGATATACATAATTTATTAAACATAAGAACAAAGATGCAAATTACAAACAAATTGAATACAAGAAAGATTCAACTGAAATAAACAGTAGGCCTATTTTTTTAGTACAGCAGTGTCTAAAAATAAATAAATGTAAAAATAAAACACTGCATAGCCTTCACTGTATGAATTAAATATACAGTTATTCTTATTAAAGCGTCAAAAGTTATTCAGTCAAGAGCAGTGAGTGATTCTGTCGTTTTCGTTTGCAGCTTAACAGAAGTCACGTTCAACATATTTAATCCCTAAAATATCTGCATTGTAAAATGTATATATGGACAGACAGAAAAAGACTGTAGCTAGACTACACAAAAAAACCTGCTCTAGCTTGATTAGAACTGCATACGTACTAGAGATGTGCAATTAATTGAAATACAGTTTGAATTTCGATTTTGGCTTCCAACGATTAAGATAAAATACAATAATCGAGATAAAATGATTATTATACCTTTTCCAGCGGTGCGCTTTCGCTCCTCCATAAAACCCCAAACTTCACGTGCAAATCAGTAAAATCATGTAATGTGACTTTCGCAAAATGGGATGTGCTTGATTTATTAAAGGTGGGGTAAGAGATTTCTGGTAGCCAATGTTGACATTTGAAATCACCAAAACAAACACACCCCTACCCCAAAAGGGTCTCGCCCCTATTTTGATAGCTCCGCCCCACACATACGTACACAACCCAAGCAACGATAAGTTCTGTGAAACAAAGCAAAACCAATGTTACACCGGGTCTACACCGGACGCGAGTGGCGCGGCGCGACAAAATACTATAGAACTCACTATAATCAGTGATGCGGTCTACACTATAGATATACAGTATATACATATCTATGGTCTTCACTGGATGTGGCGTGGCACAACACGACAAATCCCAGACAGAAAACTGCTGCTGCGTTCTATTTATGACGTATTGACACAAATTTCTAATGATTTTCAACGGTCGCATCCAGTGTACTAGACAGACTTTAGCTGTTGCGGCACAGACACGGTGTTACTCACCTATCGAGAAGAAACAAAGCAACCTCGGCGTCTGATCGCAGGCCTTCCGCTCCTTGAGTTCTCTCCAGCGTTAAGAAAGCTGATCCGATATTTACACGGGTCCTACTTCTTGCCTTAAGCCTTTTGTTCCACAGACATTTTCCTCTTGTTTTTTTATCCGCCAGCTCTATCTTTCTGTCGCTCGGCTCGGCTAATGTCCGTCCCGTGCACTGAACGCTCTCTCCTCCACATCATGAGTAGACACGCCCCTTACGTCCCGAATCAGTTTTCTAAAGCGTTTTTGAAAAATCGCTTACCCCACCTTTAATGATCATTAGATTTATTTGTGTTTTTAAAAGAGCGAAAGAGAACTTGTGCTGTTCTGTGCATGCGCTCTGACACCGAACAGAACAATGACAAGTAAAGTGAACTTTTAGCTTAAGGTGCATGACTAAATGGTCAAATACACGCAAAAATGTGTCAAAATGCGGCGCTTGGTGATTATTCATGTAAACTCTCGTCTGTTATGTCTTAAGGGAACGTAAACAGTTGAGAATGAAAACAGTGTGTAAGTGAAAACAGTGTTTACAGAAATGTGTAACAGTAAATTGGATCCGTGCAGCTCTAAAAAGTGGCAGCGGGCTATATTCCTGCTGCCGACTGTGTGCTTAATATTAATCAAACAACAAAAACAGAGAAAATTACTCACTGCTCTTGACTGAAGGACTTATATAGCTTTAATAAGAAATAAAGCAAATTTAATTCTTACAGTGAAGACTATGCCGTTTTATTTTACATTTGATTTATTCAATTTCTTTCGCATAAAAAAAAAACTTAAAGCACTGTTTGTTTAATTTGTATCTTTTTTCTATTGTATTTGACCTTTGCTTTTTGTTTTTATTGTATTACTGACTGTTTATTTATTTTTCAATAATTTGAGGGAATATATATATTTTTTTTACTTATATAATTTTCCCTAGTATTCTGCTGTGGTATTGAGAATTGTGAAATTTTGCTGGTATCTAAAATGTAGATGTCATTGCAACCTTATTTACAGAAAATGTATATTTGATATATATTGCTATCTTTAAATTAATCACGCATATAAAGTTTTGGTCATTTGACCCACTCATAATAATGTTAAATAATCATGATTAAAGTATTGACCAAAATCATTATTACGATTTTTGCCATAATCGAGCAGAATTTAAGGATTTAAGTCAATTTAAAATTTTTCTGTTTATTCATTTAGCAGCCGGAAATCATATTTCACATGATAAATCATGTTCGTAGCACAAATTATGTGCAATAGTTTAGTGATGTTTTATCACCAATAATTTTTTTAAGCTAGTCCAAATTTCAAGAAACAAAAATTTTAACTGTAGATCTATGTAGATCAAAATAAATTGGCAAAATGATTAGTTAAACTCTTAGGTGTCCAATAAAATCTTATTGATGACTTAGATTTCATAATGACAAAAAAATGACACTGACTAGGTAAACTGACCTTGTAAACTAGAGTACTTTGGTTGCTCTAGCTAATTAGATGAAGACATGGTTTGGCAATGTGAGAAAAAAACCCCACAAGATAAGAACCACTAGAGCTCAGTCCACACTGATTAAATCAGGAGGTCTTTTAGATCCAGATAAATCAACTCAAAAGACCTACATCTTTCAGCGAACAGACAATAGGCTAAATGAGAAGTGCAACAGATGTTACACAACATATTGACATTATGTTATTCCATGCTGTCCTGTCAAAGCCAACAGCCAGCTCTGACCTGTTCAAACATGTTTCAGAAGTATCTGGTGATGTCAAAGTCGGGTCATCATTGCTCTCTCTCTCTTGAGCTTAGGAAGTGCTTTAGGCAGCTCGGTATGGCAAGGTCATTCCGACATTCATTTTGTGAATTCCCAACTGAGCGTGCTCCAGATCCGCACCTCTCTGATGCCAGGAGCAAATTTCGGAGCGTGGATCATGGTGACCGATCATAACAGCAACTCTCTCTCTAAACAGCCCTGCTGCTTGCCCTTCATAAGGTGTGCATTTTCACAAGGATAATGCAGAAAACAACTTATGCATGGAAAGCTCCACTTCCCAGTTGCAAACACTTGTCCCAAGCAACAGGAGGCACTTTGGAAACCTGCTCCCAGTTGTCACACGTCTGTTGGTTTCCCCTTAAGGGAAATGGGTATTTAAGTTGCGTTTTCTCATGGATGTCAGTGTGTATTTTGGGGGAGGGTGGGCTTCTTTGCATGTGTTTTACAATGACAGAAATGTGACAGTCCACCCACCATATTATTGTTTAGCTGTCCTAGATTCATGCATAAATACTCACATGAGTCAAACAGGTAGTCCCGCTGGACAGCCTGGACTATTAAAGTGGTAATGTTCTCTTAGTGAAAGGTTTGTGGGATCCAGCTGACCGGATGGTAAATTACATCATTACTGTAATTATCTCAGTATGTATTCCACCTCCGAACTTCCCTTAATTACATTAAGTGGAAACTTTTAGGTCATTTTTGCCACCCGCTTGAAGGCCTCTAAAAAGTTGCCCCTGCCATCAGCTGTTCTCAGTCATTAAAGCCCTTCACCTTTAACCTCTACCCTCGGCTCCAGAAGTGTGTATCTTCTGCACCATTAGCATCACCAAACAGGTTTCCTTGTCTGCTATTGGTTACTAAATGGATGACCTCACCCCCCAAACTCACATGGGTGCAACAGTGCCTGCCCATTTTTTTCAGCTAACATGTTTCCAGAAGTATTTTTCCCATTCATTTTTTTCCATAAGGATTATAAAAATTTACAAAAATTGTCAATCACAATATTATAAACTTTGATTTTAAGCCCATAAAATCAGGCAAAATGGCAAAGCTACAAGATTGTGTACTTATTAGTTTTAATGAGGGAAAGAACTACAATACCAGGAAGCATTACAAATGGCATAATTGGAAAAGTAAGAGCGATTGATTACCATAAAATTTAATATGTAGTTTAAATATATATATATATATATATATATATATATATATATATATATATACACAATATTTTTTTTTTTT